ATTCCTGTAAAAAACAAAAAAAAATCCAGAGCAGCGGTGGTGGTGTTGGGACCCAAACATTTTTTTCTTCAGGACCTTTGGCAGTTTCTTGAGCTGACATGGAAGAAGTGCAGCAGCTAAAAGATCTTGTTTTACAGCTTCAGGCGGATAATGAGCGGCTCCGTCGGGATCGTGCTGGTTCCTTGGACCCTGGCGAGGGCGCCTCTCAGTCCTCCGCTTCACATGCACAGTCCCCCACCCCCGCTGTAGCGGAGCGGTTGTTGGTGGTACCAAGGGACCGCAAGTGCCCCATCTTTAATGGGAAGGCTGGCTTGGGGATCGCTGAATGGGTCGAGGAGGTTGAGGCATGTATGCGGGCCCGACATTTGACTGCTGTGGACCGGGCTCTTTTCATCTTTGACCACTTGGAGGGAGAGGCTAAACAGGAGATCAAGTTTCGTCCCGCTGATGAACGTAGCGACCCAGGTCAAATCTTGTCCATTTTAAAGGAGCTCTATGGTTGCCATCAGTCTTACAAAACTTTGCAACAGGACTTCTTTGCTCGGCGTCAGATGGAGGGTGAGAGCCTTCAGGAATTTTCACTAGCTTTGATGTCCCTGATGGCGCGAGTTAGACTGCAGGCCCCAGACGGAATGCCAAATGCAGAAGTGTTGTTGAGAGATCAATTTACAGAACATGTACTGGATTGTGCTCTGCGCCGCGAGCTTAAACAGCTGGTTCGAAGGCAGCCCACCCTTACTGTGATGGAGCTTCGTGCTGAGGCGATGAGGTGGGAACGTGAGGGCCAGCCAGGGGGCGCTCGGGGTTGAAGCTATTCCTTACCATCAGCTCTTGGCTTCCAATGTGGCGTGCAGGGTGGTGCCCAGACCAACCCTCCGGGTGGGCAGTCTGGGCCTACAATGAAAGAGCTTATGGATCTACTCAAGCAACAGCAGGAACAGTTGAATAAATTAACTCAAACAGTCATATCATTGCAGGCCCCTTCTCCACATGAGGATGGTTCACATTCAGTTCTCCTTTGCTGGCGATGCCAACAGCCTGGGCATTTTGCACGGGATTGTACTGGTCCCCGGGTTTACAATCAACCGCGAAGTAGGGTGGGTGGTCAGAGGTCAGGACATTCCTATGGGCAGTCGGAAAACTAGCACCCACTGAGTTGTTGAGCCGCAGCTCAGGCGGGGAGCCCTTAGGCTTACAGATAGACCCAACCTGTGGACTGGTGGCGCCGTGCCCAAATATGGAAGTTTCCATTGGGGGTGTTTTGGTCTCTTGTTTGGTGGATACTGGTTCCATGGTTTCTACCATTACGGAGAGTCTGTTTCACGAGCAGTTTGCTGAATGGGGCCAAGATCGCCTTCGTTCCTGCAGCTGGCTTCAGCTTAAGGCTGCAAATGGACTGGAGATCCCCTATATCGGGTACTTAGAACTTGATGTGGAATTGTGCGGCAAAATTGTTTCACGCTGTGGGATTTTAGTGGTGAGGGACCCCCCTGGTGCAGTTTTTTCCACTCCTGGTATCTTGGGGATGAATGTTATACGCCGATGCTATGCAGAGCTTTTCAATGCACTGGGCTCTTCTCTTTTTGAGGCTCCTGCTGTAGTGGGGGCACCTCAACCTGTCATCATTGCTTTACAGCAGTGCCATGCTGCCGACTTGGACAGGGATGTGGCCACAAGTACGGTGAAGGTTCGAGGGAAGCGGGCAGTCAGAGTGCCTGGAGGAATGGTTAAGTTAGTGGCTGGCACTTGTTCAGAGAAGTTTGCAGGAGGTAATGTCTTGTTAGAACCGCCGGAGACTGGATTGCCTGCTGGTCTGCTTGTGTCATCTTGCCTAGTACGAGTGGTTCGTGGGACAGCGTATATTCCGGTTGTCAATGTGGGGACGAAGGCTGCTCTTCTCTACCCACGGACCACTCTTGGCAGGCTCAGCGAGGCACAGGTTGTCAGTCTGCCGGCCTGCATTACAGAGGATCGAACTACGACTGCCTCTGTGAACTCTCAGAACATTGGGCCCTCTATGCCTGAGAGAGTTGCATCATTGGAGCTACCGGCTCTGGTAGATCAGGACGCTGAAAGGGTGAGGGGTCTGTTGCGTGACTATGAATCAGTGTTTGCAACTCATGAAACTGATTTGGGCTGCACTAACCTTCTTTCACATGATATCCCTTTGGTTGACGAGGTTCCAATTAGACAGAGGTACCGTCGCATCCCGCCGTCAGAGTACGAGGCCGTTAAGGCTCACATCAACCAGCTGCTTGAGGCTCAAGTAATTCGTGAGAGCTGCAGTCCGTACGCCTCACCAATCGTTTTGGTGCGGAAAAAGGATGGCAGTTTACGCCTCTGCGTAGACTACCGCCTGCTTAACAGCAAAACGCGGAAGGACGCTTTCCCTCTGCCTCGGATCGAGGAGACACTAGACTCGCTATCTGGGGCTGTCTGGTTCTCAACACTCGACTTGGCCAGTGGCTACAATCAGGTCCCTGTGACGGAGGCAGATCGGCCCAAAACAGCCTTTTGTACCCCCTTCGGCCTTTTCGAGTTTAACCGCATGCCTTTCGGGCTGTGTAATGCCCCGGGCACCTTCCAGCGGCTGATGCAGAGGATGTTTGGGGATCAGCAGGGTCAGTCCTTGCTGCTATACCTCGATGACATCATAGTCTTCTCATCCTCTGTCGAACAACATCTCCAGCGGCTGGAAGTGGTGCTCGGGCGGCTTAGGACGGAGGGCCTAAAGGTGCGGCTCGAGAAGTGCTCATTCTTCCAGCGCGAGGTGGGGTACTTGGGCCATGTAATCTCAGATCAGGGGGTGTCTACTGATCCCAAAAAGATCGAGGCAGTGTCCCAGTGGAAGCGTCCCCAGAAGGCCCCTGAGCTGCGCTCATTCTTGGGCTTTGCTAGCTACTACCGCCGGTTTGTGGAGGGGTTTGCTAAGTTGGCGGGCCCTCTACACCGGCTGGTAGCGGAGCTGGCGGGCAGTAAATCAAAGAGGGGCTCGGGCAGTGTGCTTGGGGCTGCTTGGACGCTACAGTGTGAAGAAGCGTTTGAGGCCTTAAAAGCAAAGTTGGTGTCTGCGCCTGTCTTGGCGTATGCAGACTTTGCAAAGCCTTTTATTTTAGAGGTGGACGCTAGTTATAGTGGCCTGGGAGCTGTCCTCTCCCAAGAGACACCCAGTGGGGTGAGACCGGTGGCTTACGCTAGTCGTGGATTGCGGCCCACAGAGCGCAATATGGCAACTTATAGTTCCATGAAGCTCGAATTCTTAGCGCTCAAGTGGGCGATGACGGAGAAGTTTCGCGAATATTTGTTGGGTCACAGGTGCACAGTGTACACTGACAATAATCCGCTTAGCCATCTCCAAACCGCAAAGTTGGGGGCGACAGAGCAAAGATGGGCCGCTCAGCTTGCTACCTTTGACTTTGAAATAAGGTACCGTTCGGGTCGAAGTAACAAGAACGCGGATGCTCTATCCAGGCAGCACCCGTCGGGCTCGGAGACCATGGCTCAATTGATGCCTGGTACCCAAACCCCCCTTCAGCTGCAGCATGGGCCGGTGCTATGCGACAAACTCACAGCCACCCAATCGCTGGTCTCTGCTCTCCCAAGCCACTCGGCGGCCCACCTTGGATCATTACAGGAGGAGGACCCCTGGTTAAGGGAGGTTCTTGGGTATTTGCGGCAGCAAACTAATCCCTCTCCTGCTGAGCGGCGTCTTCTTTCAAGGCCTGCCCTGGCCCTGCTGCGCCAACGTAAACGTCTGGTGGAACAAGAGGGAGTTCTCTTTCGCAAGACGTACCGTTCAGATGGGGGAGAGGAAATCTTACAGCTTCTCCTGCCAGTTTCTTTACGGGCTGAAACCTTGGGCAGTCTTCATCAACAACATGGCCATCAGGGCATGGAAAGGACCGCAGAATTGGTCCGTCAGAGGTGCTATTGGCCGGGAATGTTCAATGACGTCCGGAATTGGGTACAGGAATGTGAGCGGTGCCAGGTGGCAAAGGACACCGGACAGGGGTCACGCAGTTACATGGGTCACCTGCTAGCTTCCCGCCCAAATGAGATCTTGGCCATAGATTTCACATTGCTAGAACCTTCGCGAAATGGATATGAGAATGTCATGGTTATGACTGATGTGTTTAGTAAGTTTACTGTTGCGGTTCCTACACGAGACCAAACTGCTCCTACAGTGGCCCATGTGTTGATTTCAGAGTGGTTTTATAAGTTTGGGGTTCCAAGTCGCTTGCATTCTGACCAGGGGAGGAGTTTCGAGAGTGCCTTGATTCGACAACTCTGCTCATTGTATGGGGTGGAAAAGTCGCGAACAACGCCGTACCATCCGGCTGGCAATGGCCAATGTGAGCGATTTAATCGCACACTTCATAACCTTCTTTGCACGTTACCATTGCCACAGAAGAGTAACTGGACTGCTTGTTTACCTCAGGTGCTCTTCTGCTATAACACCACACCTCGTCAGGGTACTGGGGAGTCTCCATACTACCTGCTGTTTGGTCAAGAGCCAAGGCTCCCGATTGACTTCCTCCTGGGGAGAATTGATGAGCCAAGGCCAGGCGAGGTGCAAGGCTGGGTAGCAGAACACCAGGAGAGGCTGAGAGCTGCTTTCAGTTGTGCTCGTGAGAGGCTTCTGGTGGCTGCAAACCGCAGGAAGGAGCGGCATGATCTACAGGTGCGGGACACACCACTGGTGGTGGGTCAGCATGTCTATGTGAGGGACCATAGTGCCAGAGGGCGAAACAAGATCTAAGATCTTTGGAGCCCAGTGGTCCATCAGGTTGTGCGTGTCTCACCTGGACAGGGTGTAGTTTACTCAGTGGCCCCGGTAGATGATTTGGGTAGAGCTAGGAACTTGCATCGTGACATACTGAAACCAGTGGTGAAACCTGCAGAGGTGGCACATCTGGCGCCCCACTCCCCATCGGAACCAGAAGTGACCCCTCTTGATGACTCTTCAAGTAGTGATGTGTGGCTCCTGGTTTCTGAAACTAATGGGCCAGTGGGTGCTCCCAGTGCACCACCTTGTGTTCCCCCCAGGTCTGGGCCAGATCTCGGTCAGGCTACTTTCACCGCTGTACTACCTGGTCATGAGGCGCCCCCTTTGGTTGACCCGGACCACCCAACATTGCGTCGCACCACCCGCCATGGTGCGGGCCAACATTCAAACATTTACCGGCTCCCTCGTCATACTCGGCCATTGATACGTGAACACGGTGGCGCGTCGAATCCTAGCTCTAACCTTCAGGCTGCCATCTTTCGGCCGTGGTCCTAACTGTCTATCGTCGGGACGACGATACAAAGGTGGGGGGTAGATGTAGCAGTGTGGAGTGCGTCTGCCCTCCCCTTACCTGTTTCATTGAAACACCACCTCACGCACCTGCCTGCCACTAATTGCAGGGGCGGGACCTGTGGGTTGTTTTTTTTTAAGCCTGAGCCTGAGGGCGCTCACTCTTTTGCCACTCCTGCGGGAAGCAGCAGTCTCTTTGGGTCCGTGGAGTTGTGCTGGTGGGGAGCCTCACACAGTGGTTGGTGGCCCTGTTGGCACGTATGTGGGCTTGTGCGGCGTGAGCGCTGCCCTGGGAAACTCCTTCTGCTCGTTTTGGTGAGTGCGCATCATTTATCCCACACTTCCACTTGCGCGCATTTGGCACTCACGCGCTTTCCTCCTGCTCCAGTGTGGCCAGCTCCTCCAGTGTGGCAAACCTTAGTGAAGGGCCTGTGTGAGCCCGTTGTGCTTTTCAGACGTTACTTGTGGGTAAGCATGGTGCCATCTTCCCTCTGACCCATTTGGCTGTCCCCAGTCACCCTAACAGCTCATTTTAATTTAGTTGGTGCTAAATTACGCACAGTGGAGGTTGAGAGCGCGCCTCCGTTCGGGGTCTGGGGGACCGGTGCTTTCTCTGATTGGTGAGTTGCCGTTATTGCCTGATGTATACTCAAATTCTAATCTTTAGTGGTCTAACCCCAGCTTCCCTGCACTTCAGCGGGACCGAGCTGCACCTCCCGCGGCAGTTTGGAGACTGCCAATCATCACAAGTACACAAATTCTGAGCCCCGTTTCCACCGGCGCAGCTCCTCCTGCCTCCACTGCTCTGGATTGACCCCACAGGCCAGAGTCGCTCCAGTTGTGGACACTGATCATCAATATTAGGCCCACAGAGCACCTGGACACCCAAACTGTAAATTTGTACATTTTAACTGTAATTGAGTTTAGGATTGTTTAATCTTTTTTTTCTTTGTCCTTTGCATGTGTGTGTGTGTGTGTGTGTGTGCATGTGTTTCTTTGTGTTTGGCTTTTGGCAATTACCATTATTAATCAAATGTTCCTAACTTAAAAATGTTTTAATGAAAATAAATTTTGTACTTTTGTAGTCAAGTTTTGGTTTTGTCTCTGCCCCCATCACTTTAAAAAGGGAAGCGAACCTGTGTCTGCCTTGTGCAGGGTCCTAGGCCTATCCTAGGTGGCGTTGTTGACAATAGCAAAATTTTTAACCTGTACTTTTAACCCTCGTTATGTCACATCTAGTTTGTTCAGATATTCCTAATAAACTTGTAATTTGCAAATAGGCTACAGCAGTTTAGGTCAGTATAGATGACTGATCTGGCTTTTTTATTGTTTTAATTTTCTCATCATTGTAGTATTTACAGTAAGCAGATATATTGTCATAGAAATGCATATCTGGGTCTTCTTCATTCAACATATTACTTTGTTTGTGTTCGTCCTTTGAAAATACTCCCAATTCTGACTCCCGAATATCTTCTGTTTCCTCAATGTCAGATAAGGATGGGTCAGCAATCCGAATGTCTGTCATTGAGTAAGTGTTTTGTTTTTTACCGTATACGTACTTATCCAAATCAGAATATTCCCTGAACTTTTGCTTGTTCAGGCGTACCATTCAGATGGATGAATACTCTACTGTTTGTTAATGTACTCATTTGTTCCTTTCCCGGACGAGCCCACACTTTTTGTAAAATTCTCCTGTGTGAGATCAATAAAGTCTATCTTATCTTATCTTATCTTCAGCTTTCTTCCCCGCTTTAGGAGAGCATTTTTTTCTTTTCGATTTGTAAATCTTATTAGCACACTTGATTTGAGTTTTCTGTCCTTGCGGGGAAGTGTATGACATGCTTATATGCATGTCGTACTTTCCAGGTGTGAAAGTATACCTTTCACATCCGTACACAGGGAAGGAGGGTACGTGCGCCTATTGTTTGTGGATTACAGCTCAGCATTCAATACTATTGTCCCACTGAGGTTAACTGAAACTCCAGGGGCTAGGGTTGAACTCTGATCGAGGATTTTCTGACCAACAGACCTCAAGTGGTGAATCTAGGAGCGCATATCTCCAGAAGCAGGACTCTGAACATCGGAGCACCCCAGGGATGTGTCCTGAGTCCCCTGCTTTACAGCCTCTGGACCCAGGACTGCACAGCTACACACATTAACAATGGTTGGATGCATGGCTGAGAACAACGAGGCTGCCTGTTAAGAAGTGGCCCTACTAGCAAACTGGTGTAAAGAGAACAGCTTGGTCATCAACATCTCCAAAACTAAGATGGTGGTGGATCTGAGAAGGGGGACGCACCACCACGGAGGCTGCGCTCTATTAGGGCAAGAACTGAAAGACTGAAGAGAAGCTACTTGCCACACGCCTCATGAACATAGTAGAAACGTAGTTATAGCTGTTACTTAAATCAAACCAGACAGATGTATTGGTTACTAGTCATTTCACTACTTGTTATTGACCGTGTTGTTAACATTGTATGTGACAATCATCTATCTGTCGCTTTACTGTGCATGAACCGCACCACCTGTTGTTCCACCAACTCCAGGTCTTTTTCAGTTGTTGCTTCTTCTGTCGCCGTTGTCCTAGCGTATGTGCGTGGCTTGACATCCAGACCTTAAATGAGTGTACTGTTCAGCCAACTGGTTTTCTCAGTTCTTTCATCTCCTCCATTAGGCTATGAATGTTTGCTGTGTTGAGAGCTTCTGCATCTCAGACATCTAGAATTTAAGGGACTTTTAATTATCTTCATAATCTTCATCCATGTTTGTGGCGTTGCTCTGATTCTGGCCCATCCTTCGCTCTCAGAATTTGTTTGTTTACCAAGCTAGTGTCTTTGGTACAACAGTAAATATCCATACGTACTTGAGGTAGCTGTGTCGGTAGTGATAGTAAATACAAAATATAAAATCAATAGGTCCAAATACAAGGGTTAACAATCCAACAATAGTCAATAGAAGCACATGACCCAGCAGCACAGGTCCACCTTTCCTTACACACTGCGCGACAGTCTTTCTCTGATCTTTCTCTGGTCTCTCTGTCTGGTCTCTCTCTCTGACCCCTCTCTGGTCTCTTTCTGGTCTCTCTCTGGTCCCTCTCTTGTCTCTCTCTTTGGTCTCTCCCAGGTGTCTTGGATGCACTGAGCTGTGACTTAAGAAGACTTTTTTGTATTGACCTTTTATTTTGTCACGTTCCTGTCTTGCCTGTGGTAAAAAGGTGACATGGTTCCAAACAATATATCTATATTCAGGTTTGAGTAATTTTCAGTCATTGTTTTATCCACAGATCCTCAGAGAGCATCTGGATTTGTCATTTTCATCTGTTCCAAATATCTCTTTCGCACTTTCAAACCACAACCTTATAACTCATAAAAGCTGTCATAAAACAAAACTTCTTCTATCATTAGTTTTTGGCCTCTGTCACATCTTTAGATCAGCATATTCAGCCAATCAGCTCTCAACCCAAAGTGTCAAATAGTGACTTCCCAGGCTTTTTCAAACACAAAATGTTTTCATGTTTTCTAACAAGATGAAGGCGGTTTGCTGTGGTCTGATTTATTCACAACATTTTACTTTACACACTTTCTGATGAGACAAATAACATGGTTTATGGCAAAATGTCCCTCAGCTTTGAGACAGGTTTTAAGCTCTAAAAACAATAAAGTATTTTGGATCCACGGAGGTGACAAAGTGGAATTTTGGATTCCATGTTTTTGCCCCTAGTTCACAATGTGTTTTTGACTTGTGCTGCTTACGTGCTTACTTCATCTTGTAAATAGGAAAGGCTACAGCAGCGTGTGACGTGGGAGCAGGGGTGACGTCGTTTTGAGTTTGAGGAGTTTATGGAGCGTTCACATTGGCACATGAGTCAGTTTGAGGAGGACCAAGCTGCAGGCCGTTTTGTCACTGAATAAACAACAACAGCTAATGCAACGTCTCACCACACAGGGATCTAAATAAGGCCCAGTGGGAGCAGCTGTCTGTCCAATCATGTCTTGGTGGGGCTTAGACACTGTAGATTTTTAAAGTTCACCAAAACTGCTAACAATCAGAGCTGACCATTCATAGCGGGGGAGTGGGATGAGAGGTAGCCGAGTTTGTGGTTTATAGAAAACCGATGGATTTCAAAAGTAAAATAATACCAACAAAATCTGACCTTTGTGAAAGCGCTGTTGGTTCCCTGTCAGCTGGGGACGAGCTGTTTAAGTTAACATTGAGATCTATTCGGAAATCTTCTTTCAGCCCATGTGGATTTAAGCTGCAGTACTGCGGATACCCCCTTGTCCATGTGGAGACAAGTTTAAGCAGAAACACCCTATCCACATAATGTAATACATCCATGTTGTGATCACTGCAAAATTTGCGCTTCCCTGCGCATCCAGCAGAGGGAGGGGCCATAAGTGAAAGTCTAGTTTTTTGAATAGGAAAGATGAGAGGTTATTAGTGGTCCATGTTATTTATTATTATTATTATTATTATTATTATTATTATTATTATTATTATTATTAAATTATTATTATTATTATTATTATTTTATTATTATTATTATTATTTTATTATTATTATTATTATTTTATTATTATTATATAATTATTATAATAATTATAATACAGTTTACTTCTTAGGAGCCTTTCTTGACGCATACAAGTAAAACGTACATTTTAAAGAGGCATCCTTTATTCGTTCCACAGTAGGGAAAAAAATCAGTGTTGCATCACAAGTTACAGAACAGTACAGGAGCACACATCACGAAACAAAAACAGAATACAAAGTTAAAAGCATCATGGACAGAGGCTGGTGTAGTTGGTGTAGGGGAATAGGCTTGTCTAAACACATGTGTTTTTATGGGTTAGAAAAATTATAGAAATATTATGTGGAGAAAAAATTTGAGATGTAAACAACTATCCAAAATAATACTTAATGACAGTCCTGATCAAAGTGAAAGTAAAGTGACATTATGATGGGCAGTAAAATTACATTATAAAGGGCAGTAATCATGATATAGATGACGATATATCTTTCAGATAAAAACGCCAGAGGACTCATTGTGTGGTATTGAATTTGAAAGAGGAGGATTTAAACAGAAGGGCAGGTGGTGGTCGCTCAGATTCATGACAGAAGTTTGTGATGTAGAGAGCTAAAACCAACCCCAAAAGTGTTTTCGGAATAATGTTAAGTCTAAATTAGGCGTTTAAAATGTATGAGCAGCGTTCAGAGGCTGTGAATCAAACTGCAGAGTCCACACACACCTGCTCCTGTTCTTCCTCGGCCTCATCTTTCCCATGAGGCCTGTGTGGTTAGAGCTGACAGACAGAGTCCAACACAAATATCAATGGAGCTAATCAATACATACATCCCATCATCTGCATGGATTTTGTGTCATTATACATCCCATATGTACTGTATATACACATATACATAAAAGACGGGTACGCTGTGTAGGGGACGTAAGGTACAGGAAGCGTTGGAGAAAACAAAAGAAGTTGCGTTCACCGTTGATTACTGGAAGTCCATCTGGGTCAGTCCCAACTATTTCCAGGTCACAGCCCAAACATTGAAGCTGTAGTTATTGCTTATGCAAATAAAATATCAGATATTTTGGTTTAGTAATCTTAATCTAAAAAAATGTTTTTTAAATGTTTATTTTGCTGTAATCGGTCAGTGTCATATAAAACACATCCCTCTCAGTTTGTCTCTATTCTTTCACCCAATCACAATCTGACACATTTTAAAACCAAGCTAACAGACAGAAGGAGCAGAGGGATGTGTTTGTGCTGGTTTATGGTTTGTAATATTACAGTGGATGAAGGTAGAAAA